GCTAGAGGGCGCTCTGGAGCAAGTCCAAAAAGAATGGGGTTAACATGGAGCATTTGAGCAAAATCAAAGTTTATAAATGTTTAAACATGTTTAATATAAAAGAATACATTCATTTACTGAACACTGAACAGCATAAAACATTTAAACACTGCTGTTATATAAGAGCTTTTAAACTCGAGTTATGGGAGTTTAAAACGGCGCCTCTAGTACGTTCATGACGTCAGTGAGCGCAAACAGCCAATGAGCTGCTCTGCTCGCCAACCAATCAGCACTCAGTAGCAGTAATGTTAGCGTCCTGCTGCCCAAAACCCGTTTGCTGTAGTAAAAAGGAAACATACAGGTGAGTTTTCTTTGCTTTTTTAGTGAAATACATCCTTCTACTTTCTAAAATGAAAGGAAAGTTCTGGGCGAGTGATTAGAAACTATTTTAACATTTCGTTTTTAGTGGTTTAGCTCCATTTACTCCCATTCACTGAGGACTCGCTCACCCTCTGCTGTTTATTAGTCCTGTTTTTGATATAATGGGGGAAATAGGAAGAGGCCAGGCTCCTCCTAAACCGGCTCTGGTTGGATCACGTTTTAACAGGATACGTCTTATACTGCAGGACTAACCTGCTCCAAGGCCAGCTGCACTCTGGACCAATCACGGCTGAGCACCTAGTGGAGGTGGATCTCTCTTTTCTGCTACAGGCCAAGAGTTCATGTATGATGTAGAGATGATCACACTTGCTAGATATATAATCGATCCTGATTTTTAACAAAAAGAAAATATGCTAATTATTTTTATATATTGCCTAGATGTGGCTCAGAGTCACACGATCATTACACATGGCCACAAATATTAAAGACACTTTTTAGTCCACAAAAATCACAAACATTGCTGCAATTTTTACATTCCCTTTTTTTGCTAATTGTCGAAAGTTGTCATCAATTACATTGTTTAATAGTCAATATAAATACTGATACTAAGAGAAGAATGGCAGCAACAACTGAGGCATACCTTCATGGCGGTTCTTTGAATGGAATGGTTCCTCAGATTAATGGAGAATGTGTTGTACATGGTTCTATATAGAACCTTTTTAAAGGGGTTATATGTATAGCACAGCAGCACTGATCCACTCACACCAGCGTCACTGTAGAATAGGGTGCAGAGAAACAGATGGACTACATTCTGTAACTGTAGAGCTACAGAGTGAAACTATATGGTCAGTGGAGCTGATAAAGTGGACAGTGAGTGTAGAAACAGGCAGGTGATTTTAATGTTATGGCTGATCAGTGTGGGGCGTAACTCTGTTCACTGTTCTAACAGCCTTGATCCAACAACAGGCATTGTTTATCTAAGCCCATCAAATCTGAACAGCTGAATAAATAAGTGAGATATTTCTGACAGCATAGTGAGAGACATGGATTAGCAGACTGGGCTGGAATCTGCAGTGGACGGCGGGTGGGCGAGGGACACTCTTTAGGTAAAAGATTAAATCCCCCCGATTACATGATAATCAGCTTTGCCTACCCTCGCTGTCACCAGGGGGAAGGGGCTGCAGGGCGCTTGCACAACCGCAGGGGTAATTACTGCTTAAGCTAATGACTTGGAATCAATTTCCAATTTCTCACTCAAAGAAAATCTCCCCTGTGTGATGGCAGTGGAACCGAGTAGTTCTAAACGGGCCCACATCCAGCCTTTTTGGGTGTATTTTATTATTTTCTATGTCCTCAGCTGACATTTTTTATGGGTTTATGCACCAAAAGCAGTCATAATTAATTTTTCTAAATTTTTAATAATTTTAATCATTTACAATTAAACAGACTGTTTTTGTTACTGTACCTTTAAGACTGATATATGTAAATGAGCTCTGTTATGATAGGCTGCCTCATTCAAAATTCAAAACGCAGTCCAGGATGAAATACTCTCCATAACTTCACCGAAAATGTCCTTTTTTGTAGTTTTGAGTCCAAATATTGTATTTTGTGTGTTTGTGATTAGTGAGCTGTACAAAATTCACTCCTATATTATTTTAATCTCCTCTTGGTCTCACAGTAAGAGCTAGCCAGCCTAAAGTCCAGCCTCCACATGTAACACACATGTAACACACCTTTACAGCTAAGACCCCCAAATTAAACACGGAAATCCAGATAGTAAGAGGATAGTGGTCCTCTGTTGGCCCACTGACGGCAAAGCTGGAGGCCCACTGGTGGTTAAGCAAAGGGTTATAAACGTTATATTCACTTTTTCTTATTTTCTCCTCACAGTCTTATTTACTGATTTTTCCTTCTTATTCTTCTTTTGTTATCATTTGTAGTTTAGTAAATAATTTTTATAGCAACTTCATAAAGCCGATTACACAGCTGTAACCAATTTAGTACAGTGTCAACCATGGCGGAAACCCTTCATTCTTCATTCAGTCTACATTGGAGACACATGAGACATGGCGTGCAGCGAGTCTAAGCTGCTGAAGTTGCTGCAGCGGTTTTGGAAAGTAGTGATGAAGATTTGGGTGGTGGATCATTCTCAGCAAACTTGCACATGATTGAAGTTTAGCTTCTTTAGTTTTAGTGCTGAAGCTACGATGGTAATGAACCCCATGGACCCTCACAGAGCAGGTACTATTTGGGTGGTGGATCATTCTCAGCACTGCAGTGACACTGACGTGGTGGTGCTGTGTTAGTGTGTGTTGTGCTGGTGTGAGTGGATCAGACACAGCAGTGCTGCTGGAGTTTTTAAACACCTCAGTGTCACTGCTGGACTGAGAATAGTCCACCAACCAAAAATATCCAGCCAACAGCGTCCTGTGGGCAGCGTCCTGTGACCACTGATGAAGGACTAGAGGATGACCAACACAAACTGTGCAGCAGCAAATGAGCTATCGTCTCTGACTTTACATCTACAAGGTGGACTGACAAGGTAGGAGTGTCTAATAGAGTGGACAGTGAGTGGACACAGTGTTTAAAAACTCTAGCAGCACAGCTGTGTCTGATCCACTCAGACCAGCACAACACACACTAACACACCACCACCACATCAGTGTTACTGCAGTGCTGAGAATGACCCACCCAAATAACACCTGCTCTGCGGGGGTCCTGGCCATTGAAGAACAGAGTAAAAGAAGGCTAACAAAGTATGCAGAGAAACAGATGGACTACAGTCTGTAACTGTAGAACTACAAAGTGCACCTATATAGTAAGTGGAGCTGATAAAATGGACAATGAGCGTAGAAACAAGGAGGTGGTCATAATGTTATGACTGATTGGTGTAAGTCACTGTTAAAAATGTCTCTTCAGTTCAAAGTAAAAAAATGACTTCATGTGGTAACGAGTAAATTAACTAGTTTTATTCAACCTAAATGAACACTGTGAATGATTCTTTCAATCAGTGTAATTTGAATAAAGTTGAATAAAACTAGTTTAATTATTTGTTACTACATGGAGTCATTTTTTATTTAAAAACAAACAGTTTAAAATTGGACTAAAATCAATTAATCACTGACTAAACGGTAATAACATCTCATCTAAAATGTAACAGCCTCCTCTCCTCACTGATGCAGTGAAACAGTGAAAGTATTATGGTTTGAGAGTAAAAGCAGCTCTGAAATCATGACTGTGAGAAACTGAGCTGATTCTCAGTGATTTATGAGTAAACAGCAGCGTTTATGATGCAGGAGTATGAACAGTCTCTGCAGACACGCCGGGTCGTTTCCTCGATGGCGTCTGTCACGTGCAGCTCCAGATGGAGCGCGTTCACCTCCACCACTCCTGAAAGGCAGATAATTGAACATTGATCTCTAGGTGCAATGAGGTGGTGGGGGGAGGGGGCGGGGCTACAGGTCTGACAGGATGATTGAAGCACTGGTGCGCACAGGAAACGGAGAGTAATGGAAACTGTGGAAGCAGAAGAATGTTGTGTTTGAGCATCATATGGTCATTATTTTCATTTCTGATCTTTAAGATCTGAAGTCTCACTGTGGTTTTTTCAACCTTGCTTGTTCCTCTGCTGTGTATTAGAGCCGGACTGATATATCGGTTTGCTGATATGAGCGACCTGCAGTATTATCACCGGTAATAATGATAATTAGCATTTTTTTTTATGTGGCATCACCAGGATTCAGTCTGGCGATCTCCTGGTGATGAGGTGAAACTGAAAACCTTAAATCATTTTGTAGGCGGTGCCAAGGTGCTGATAAAGTATCCATTGTGGTTGCTAGGGTGTTGCTAACTGGTTGCTATGACATCTGTTCAGATTGCTATGGTATTCCAGGTGAGTGCTAGGGTTTTGTAGGCGGTGCCAAGGTGCTGCTAAGGCATCACCTGTGGTTACTATAGTGCCTCAGGTGGTTGCTAGGGAGTGGCTAACCAGTTGCTATATCTCTTGTGATTGCTATAGCTGGTGCCAAGGTGCTGCTAAAGTATCCAACATGGTTGCTATAGTGTTGCAGTTGGTTGTTAGGGTGTTGCTAACCACAGCTATGATATCTCCTGTAATTGCTAGGGTATTCCAAGTGATTGCTAGGGTTTTGGAGGTCGTACCAAGGTAATGGTAGCTACATATAACATATATAAAGTTATATAACATTCTTTATCAAGAGAAATTATGAAAAAATAGAAAAATGCAGACTGAACAGGCACCTAAAGCACTTCCCAGGCGGTTGCCAAGGTGTAGCAAACAGTTACCATGGTATTTTATTTGGTTGCAAAGGTGTTAAGTGGTTGCTATGGTATCGTGGCTGGTTGCTAGGGTGTTGCTAGTTGGCTGCTATGGATCCCCACATGGTTAACAGGGTGAAAACTAAATCAGACCAGTCAGTAAAGCACTGTTTAGCCACAACTACTGAAGTATAAAATTAAAATATAAAATGATTTCAGGGTCGTATTATTGGTCGTCAATTTTTAGCCCCTTAAAATCAGCACCAGCTTCAGAGTTTACATATAAGTCAGACCTTCCTTGAATGCCTGTATTTGTGAAATACGTCCCATATAGATAAAAAAAATTAAAATAAACACACAGAATGGTGCTGAAATTTATACATACTTAATTACTTTTCAGAAGAACAGAGTACAATCACAGAAACGACTCCCAGAGGAGCCCAAATCCCGACATTCAGTATTAAATATTAGACTTTAATCACCTCTCGTATTGTGGTGGGCCATTCCGGCTCTGACGTTAAGCCTGACTGTTTGGCAGGCAGGAGACTCGCATTAAGCCTCGGCTGGAGGGGAAAAAAAAAGCCACAATCTGCAGCTTTTACTGAAAAGTATCAAAGCAGACACGCCAACTTCTACAGCTGCTGCTTTACCTTTTTGACCCAGGCTTTTAAGTTGAAAAGCAGGACCGGAACATCAACTCCCAGCTCTTCATATGGAATATATATACACACGAGTCTTCACATCTAATGAATTATACTGAGGGGAACCCGGAAGAAAGAAGAGAGATTCTGAGACGTCACTGAAGACTTTCCAAACCATCACATTTGTAAAGCAGTCAGTTGTTTTTCCCCCCATTGATGCACCATAAGACAACGGAGCGTTCATTCATTATCAACTGTTCTGACATCAGCTCATGAAAAACAAACGGCAGCGCCGGAAACACGATCACTTTATCTCTCTGAAGGCCCTCTTCTCCACGTATTTCAGCTTGTGTTTCCTCTTGAATCTGTAAAGGAAGACAAGAAGAACTCAATTTATAAGGAAACTCCAGCCCTTTTGACAAATGACAGTGAAAACCTTCATCCAGCACCGGATTCATGATATTCAAAAAGTAAGAGCGTTCAAAGAAAAAATGAGATCAGCTTTGAAAAGAAATGAAGGAATCTTACTTCGCTCTCTCTCTGGGCTCGATCAGGTTCCTCTTCTGTAGACTCTTAAAGCGGTCTTTGAGGATGCTGCCCTCTGGCTGCAGAACAAAAAAAAAAACAAAACACCAGTTTATTAGTAGAGCACGAACAGGGTAGCGTGTAAAGAAGGGTAATATAACCTTAAATTTACATCACAATATTTTCCATCTTCTATATACACACATATATACCCACATACAAATAAACTAAGACAAATACACATGCACATAAATACATAAATCAATAAAATGTAATATCAAATAAGATGTAGATGTTAACAGCATGTTAAACCATTATTTATCGATGACATGGTAAAATCAATGCTATCAGCCTTGGCAGATTTCTACCAGGAATACACTGGGATTTTAGCTCATTTTTTTGATACACACTCACAACCACTTCTCCAATACGAGTGGAGTCACAGGTCAACAAAACAGAGGTGAAAAAAGTCGACATTTGCTACCAAAGTCTGCATATGTGACTACTCTGCATAAACTGAGGTATAAATGTTAATATGGTGATTTTTAAAGCTGTCTTTGTAAAACAGGCTGTTGAGAGACCATATTGTCCTACTGTGTATAATATGGCCCTTTTATTCTTTGAGTTTGACCCTTCTCTAGAAGTTCTATTTTGTCTCTTGCAACTTATTAAAATCTCAGAAAAACAGAGGAGGGGAAAAAAATTCATGGTGCATATTGTGCATCATGAAAATTTCTTGACATACTGTGAATTTTTTTTTTGCAATATCACCCACCCCTGCGTGTGGCAGAGATGTTTAAACTTAGTGAGTAGATGTTTCGGACTCTGCGAGTACTAAAAAAAAACAAAAAACAACGTACTTGTTCTCAGTCTGGAAAAAAAAAAAAACGGCTTTTATGCATCCCTAGTTACAACCTCACTAATCATTGTACCTCTCACTCTGTCTCAGTGTAAGGCGTGCATGTCTCAGACCTTGAGTGTTCGGAGGGACCCTGGAATCTCATCACTCAGCTGTATGTCCAGATCAGGAGCCTGAAACCTGCAAAGATCACAGACTCAGGTGAGGATATGAAGAACACAGCCACAATCAGTGACTCTGGAAAAAAACAAAAACAAATGGGAGCTAAGTGAAGATATTCATGAATGTAAAAAATACATCTAATATTTCTCCATAAGAGACTGTTGCGAGAAGATTGCATGGTTATTTCTAGGTATTTTTACTTGTTTTAAGTCCTTTTATGTGCTGCAATATTTCATTGGCAGATAACTTGGCCAACTTTACAATAAGGATATAAAGTGGGAATTCCTCTGATTTTCCTAATTTTCTCCATAACTCAGTGTGTGAGATGTAAACAGAGTGATTCAGAGTGTTTGGTGTGAAATGGTTCAGATGTCTTTACAGTGGTGCCACAAACCAGACATCCACCTCTAAAAGCTCCCTCACAGAAAGTTACTACATGAAATGGTTATTAATGTGGAAAAAGTCAATTCATGCTGGAGGTGATACATGCAGAACATTGTGAGGCAGAGAGAACTTATTATTTCAGATTTTCCACTATTTTCCATCATCAACATTCCACATAAACTCAGAAGACTCATGCAGGTTCACTGGTGGTTTTGGATAGTAAATAAAATGTCTATATTTGTGTTGTAGTCATGGCGACCCCTGGTTCCTATCACCACCACTGTGAACAATTCTGACTCGGTAAGTTTCTCTAGAACAGAGCGTTTCACACCAAACCACTCTCAACGACTCTGTTTACATCTAAACCAATTTTCAAAGCTCTGGAGCTCCTCTTCAAAGAGACAGCGCTCTGTGGTACTGACTTCAGTCTGCCCAGACGGCGTGGCAGCGATTTCTGGGCCTCTTGCTGTGCTTTGCGCTGCACCCGTCTCGTCTTGGTCCTCTGCTCCATCTCCTTCACCTCCACACCGATAGAGCGCAGCTTGAAGAGCTGCTGCCGGCTGTCAACCATCTTTCGCTCCGCCTTCTTCTGCAGCTCCTGTTACAGGAATGACCATAAACAAAAATCAGATTAAGGGAGGACTGAAGGACGTTGCCTGTGGTCTCTTTTTGCCTCGTTACCTTTATCCGTTCTGCTTTTTCCTTCTTCCTCTGCTTCTCGGTTTTCTTCTCCTGCTGTGCTGCAGGACCGACAGCTTCATCCACTGCATCTCCTGCCGCCTGCTCCGCTTCCGGCTTTGCCTCCTCCTCCTCTTCCTCCACCAGCCCTTCAATCTGCTCTTTAAACGTGCTCGCCTGAACAGAGACATACAGCATATGAACAGCAAAGAATTGTGGGTAGCTCAGCCCCCAGTGCTACAGTGTTTATATTATTTAAGAAAACTGAGATCAGTCAGTAAAAGATGTTTAACTGTAACTACTGGAGTAAAAATCAACAATTAAACAGTGATAAAATATCAGGCAAATATTTTAGTCCCCTACAATCTGTATCAGCCAATACGATGATATTTTATCGTTATTGCGATACATTTTGCCATTATACTTCAAGAACATGAAAAATGTATGTTCGATTAAAAATAAAGCAGAATTTGTTCTATTTTATTGATTTTAATGCTGTTCAGATTATGACAAGTTAAACAAATATCACTGTAGCAAAATTTTTGAAGGTAGTTTTTAAATGTAGCATTAATACCGATTGTGTGTGTCAAAGTAGTCATACATATTGCGTAATGCAAAAATGTCTCTTACGATCATCATATATTTTTGCCGTATCGCCCACCTCTAATATCAGCCACAAAATGTAGCTCATTTTTAGTTTTAGCAAAAGTCTGCAAGAGCAAAAGTGTAAGTACTAAACAAATACAGCCCCGACTGGACACTTTTAAGATCTAAAAGTGAATATTGATGATATTGGTTGATGAATACTGTACCTCAGTAGCTATATCTGCCTTATTTATTGCTAGTTTTCCGCTGCAGCCGCTCTTCTGCCTTCAGTTTCTGCACCTCGACCTCATGAGCCTCCAGCAGCAAAGCCTAGGAGCACAAACATGCACATTACACATAATTTATTGTTACTATTATTATTATTATTATTATTATAAAGCCACAGAATTAGCCACAATACTTTTAGGCATATGCTAGCCTAAATAAATGTTTAACACCTATTCAGCTTGCATTTCTACATTTCTCAAAAGGTGCAAGTCAAATAAATGTAATATTCCTCTGTAATTCTGATCCAAGTCTCAGTTTCTTCATTTTATGAATCCTTACATATCAGCAGACAGATATGTACAATAAAAGTTAACATAAATCACACGCATATAAAAATCTGTATGCTTGTCTGAGAGACATTTTTCGCTAATATAAAAAGAAATATATTAAATCTACGAAAAAAAATGATAGAAACGCATTTACTGAAGAAAGGCTGTGTACACATTACAAGCCTCGTTGCTCAAATACGATTTTTTGCTCAAATCCGATCTCTCTGATACGATGGTTCACACTCGTTTAGGTAAGTGACTCAAATCTGTCATTAATGTGAACGAACCGGCGTCCTGAAATGACCCTCATGAGCACATCCTACTCAGTAACGTCACGTGAATGAATCACGTTCATCATCAGTACAAACTAACGAGCAGAACGAGCTTCGCTGAGAGGATAATTAACTCTGATCAGCTCTCAGCTTCATTATTAGAGCGAGACGAAGGAGAAAAAGGTGAGATGAGCTGCTTTTCCACCGTTTACAGGCTTTAACTTCTGTTCGGCGCTGCTGCCATGGTAACGCTGAATGATGGAGCACGCGCAGTGGAAAAAAAGCACATGAATTCCGATCTGATCATCACATTAAGGTCGCATGGCCACGAATCAGATATGTATCCAATCTAGGACCACATATGAAAGTGGATCGGGTCGGATTTGAAAGGATCAGATTTGTGTCCACACAGCCCTGAAAACATCAGATCTGAGTCACATTAGGGCAAAAAAAAACAGATTTGGGCCACTTCAACCTGGTAATGTGAACGCAGCCTATAACATATGACTTTTATTCTCATATGACTGATCAGGTGTTTAACTACAAAACATGACAGAAGGTCCATGAAATTAAAATGCATCAAAGAAAACGCTCAGCTGTGATATTAGAGTATTAGCAGACAGAAGAAGCTGCAGATTAAGGGACTTTTCCCTGAGCTGTTGTGTCATTCAGTGCGTTTTCTCTGTGAGCTGTAGAAACAGCCACAAAATTAAACACAACAGGAACGAGAAGCTACTCAACATTATAGATGTGTCTATAAACTCACCCCATACATCTCAGAAGTGCTTTTCTGAGCTTTTTTGCAGCCTAATTTACATTAAATCTTTGCGATATTTCAGCTTCTCGCTCCTGGTGGTCTGTAAGGAGGGTGGCAGGGTTTACCTGGTGAGAAAAGAAGTCAGGATTGTAGGAGCCGCCTGGAGCGATGACTTCAACAGCAGGGAGAACGGAGGGTTTCTCATTCAGCTTCTCGGGATCTCTACAGGAGAAAAGAGTTCACTGATGACGATGCTGACATCGTTTTTATGGTGTAAAATAGCTCGTAACTCAGAGCAGCCACAGAGTCGACTCTGAGAGCCATCACCCTCACCTTAACCAGCTTCTTCTTGGTCTGTTCGAGGTAGTAGGGATCTGCAGTCTCAGGACCTGAAACACACAGATGCTGTTAAAGCTCAATCACAGCTCTATGATCCCAGAAGGGTCTATTCTGCCTGATTTCTTGGTATTTTTTTGTTCAACTGCAGTTACAGTGTTTATATGAAACTGCGTATATATAGACGATCAGCAGTTTAAACATCTTTTCAGAATTTGAGTTGAAAAGACAATAACTGATCATGATTTGTTCTGTTTATTACAAAAAAAAATGTTTAGCATAGACAGTTTTCCATTGATTACTTTTGAAATCAGACTGATCTCAAACACTATTACCTGTTTCTAAAACTTGAAATCAACTGAATGTTAAAGCTAAAGCTGATTTTTTTTTATTTAACAAACAAAGTTGTGAGGTCCTGCTGGTGTGGGTTGAAGCCAGTTTCCTCACTTTCAAAGATGCACAGAAAAACCAAGAGTGCTAACAGCGCCCCCCTGAGAAAAAACATCAGCCTGATAAGCCTTGAGTGATTGCTAGTTAGAAATTAGCATATGAATTGACCTCGTCTTGTTATTGAAGGTTATTACAGCAATAAAAGAACACTAAGTGGCATTCCTTATTAGTAATAATAATAATAATAATAATAATAATAATAATTAATAATTAATAATATTAACACACTCTTACAGAAAATTATTTAAGGTCCAAAGAATCTGTATGAAAAACTCTAATGGAAAAGTCATGAATTTTTAAAGATTGATTATTTAGATTTTTTTTTTTTTTTTCCCAGTCAAATTGGCAGATTTTTGGCTGATTTATACTATTTTTTCCCCCCTGATGTTCACATTTTGTGGGCTACATGAACACATGAAGCACACTAGCACATTTCCAGCACCGTGTAAGGCCACCTTGCAATGTTTACAATATTATTTTCTTTTAAAAATGGGCCAAACTGCCATTTAAAAATTTTTCAATTTTAAACTGCCAATTTCATTTTAGGTTGCCTATTAAAACAACACAAGTAAACAAGAGGTGACCGGCTATTTATCAAAATAAGTCATGTGTAATTATGCTACCACATTTTGATACAAGTGTAGAACCAGCATATAAAAATAAATACAACCGATTGGCTGAGTGACGATTTTCTGTTTTGAGCAAAAGATCCTGCAGATTCAGATCAGACTGTGCATCTTTACTTCAAAACCCAACAATTATCCAGCAGTCAAACCCTCCACAGTGCAGGCTCAAAAACAGCAGCAGGACAGAGGAGCACCCAGAAAGCAGCCAAACAGCTACACAGAACAGCGTCCATCGCCCTCAGATCCTGGAGAACCGTTCACACAACAGCCCTCCGGGTCCCAACAGGTCGTCTTCACATTCCCAAAGAAATACTGGGAGCGCAAGGATGATCTCATCACAGGGCGGGACTGTTCTTCCCAAACGGATGTGTGACAGAACGTTTACGGTAATTTGCAAACAGAAATAAATGAAAAAAATGAAGAACCTGAAGACTCACAGGAACACACGTTAATAAGGGTTCTTTAGTAAAGATAATGAGTTCTATCTAGAACCATTTGTATGCTTAAATGGCTTGTTGCATGGTGACGTGGTTCTTCAGATTGATTAAGAATGTGTTGTATATGGTTCTACATAAAAGGTTCCTCTGTAGCACATAAACTTGACATCGTAACAATGGCAGAACGCTTTTTCGCGCCATATAGAACAATTTACAAAAACATACAGCACATTCTCCATCAATCTGAAGAACTATTTCACCATGGAAACAGGCATTTAAGCATGCAAATGGTCCTATACAGAACTCATGGTTACTAAAGAATGCTTGAACAACCTCCTTCTATAAGAACAGATAAGGAAGATCCGCTGTACTCACTGCCGGCACTCCAGATATCATAGAAGTTCCTCTCTGGGTCTTTACTGGTTACGGGCTTCTCCTTAACGGACGGTGCTGCTGCAGGTCTGCGGAGGAGCTTCTGTCGCCGTGGCAACACGCCCATGGCGGCCAGCTTCTCTGCCTTCTGGGCAATGCGACGCTCCTTCTTGGCATTGGGACGCTGATGGGCCAAAATACTGCACAGGACAGAGGAGAAAACAAGGGCTTTAAAGACTGATCTAAACCACAGACACACAAAAAAAAACATTCCTTAAAACCCTGCTCTGATAAAGGAGCACTGTAAAGGGGAAATCCACCCATTTTTCTAAATTTTCATATTTATTTCAGCGAGGTTTGATAAGCTGGGAAAGAAAAGTGGTGCCAGATTTAAGTAATGACTAACTAAAACTAATAAATACAATAATTTTTCCTCATCATAGATATTTATCATCATTGTGACAAATTATGTCACGATTTGTTTCTTTCTGCCACATCGGCCACCGACTAATTAAGTAACAATATCGGCCACTTAATCTAATTAAACAGGACTAATTAGACTCTTTGTATTGAAACAATGCAGTTGTTCTGTGTTCTTTTAGTGCTGATTATATCCTTTATATGCTCAGAAAGGTATAACGTGATGTAATTTATTGTAATAAAAATGTGTAAAAAAGGTTACACACTCATCACAGCCGCAGAAACACACGCAGTCCTAGAAAACACAAGAGCAACCAAACAGCTAAACAGAACAGCATCCATCGCCCTCAGATCCTGGAGAACCATTCACACAACAGTCCTCCAGGTCCCAAAAGGTTGTCTTCACATTCCCAAAGAAATACTGGGAGCGCAAGGATGATCTCCTCACAGGGCGGGACTGTTCCCATATGGACATATAGAAGGATGCTTACAGGTGGATTCCACTGATTTCCCAAAATGTCTGCATAATTAAGAGGCTAACATGTAAACAAAGTAATTCAGGGTGGTTTGATGTGAAATGGTCTGTTCTGTTCACAGTGGTGGTGATAGGAACCAGACGTCCACCTCTAAAAGCTCCCTTACAGAAAGTTATTACATTAAATGGTTATGAATTCACTGCCTGATATCTGAGACACTGTTATGATAGTTTTGAGAAAATTTTGGCCTTAAAATCCAGTCATAGTGGAGGGATACATGCAGGGCGCTGTGAGGCAAAATAGTCCCCAAAGAAAACGTAGAAAAAATAGATTCACTGCCTTCACTAAAGAACCCTTGAAGAAGTGTGTAGAGGGGTATAAAGCCCCCCAGCATTGGGCTGTGGAGCAGTGGAACTGTGTTCTCTAGAGTGATGGAGCTCCATCCAGTACCTTTGGGATGAGTTGGAGTTATCCAGAACTGACCATCCAACATCAGTACCTGACCTCACTAATGCTCAATCAAATCCTCACAGCAATGTTCAACATCTAGTGTAAAGCCTTCCCAAGCTTCAGAATTGTTCACAGTGGTGGTGATAGGAACCAGACGTCCACCTCTAAAAGCTCCCTCACAGAAAGTTACTACATGAAATGGTTATGAATTCACTGCCTGATGTCTGAGACACTGTTTTATGAGGCAAAATAGTCCCCAAAGAAAACTTATTCCAGATCCTCCACTATTTTCCACCATCAACATTCCATATAAACTCAGAAGACTTGTGTAGGTTCACTGGTGGTTTTGGATAGTAAATATTTGTCTATATGTCTATATTTGTGTTGTAGCCATGGCGACCCCTGGTTCCTATCACCACCAATGTAAAGACATCTGAACCATTTTACACCAAACCACTCTGAATCACTCTGTTTACATCGCACACACTATAAACTATATGGGGATTTTGGAAAATCAAAGGAATTCACCTTTAAGATAATTTGCAAATAAACAAACAGGCATGCAGTGAAAGGTAAGGCGTAAAAGCTGCTTTACTCTTTAGGTGGTGCGATACGAGAATCTGGCTGTAGAATTAAATCTATCCGTAGTGGCTTTGAGTTTCTGCCCTTCTTTCCAACAGCACCTACAAACAGAAGATCAGAGAAGGCAACCAGTTAATTAAAGGCTGGAAATCAAAGCAAAGAGCACATCAGAATTATTCTGGACGTTTACCTGACTCAGGTACGCTCTCCTGGTTCCCAGTGTCCACAAAGAAGAGGCTGTCGTCCGGTTTGTCAGCTATCAGACCTCTGAGGAAAGGAGTGCAGAACAACATTAAAGATTACAGCTTCTTCTGCGTTCTTCCAGAACAAATGGTGTTAGAACCTGAATATGCATTTATTATAATAATAATAATAATAATAATAATAATGATAATTCTATTTATTCATCAACGTCATTATTAGCATTATTATCGTTATCATCATCATTTCTTTTTTAGCATGTTTCATACTTTCAATGCAAAGTAATTCAGATTAGGTTAAAACACAAAAGACTATATATGAAATTAAAACAAACAAAAATATAGTAATGCGGTATAAAGAAGTAATACAAACAAAATTAAATCAAAATCAAAAAGAGTCTACATTAATAATAGTGACAATAATATGAACGTGAAAACAAATAAATCGTGAAAACCTTTGCAAAAAAACTCTCTTGGTGTTAACTTTGCCTAGTTTGTTACATGGGCTCAATCCCAAATCACTCTCTGCTCCCTAAGGAGGGAACTACGTAGGCCTTTAAAAAAAAAAAAAGTGTCCTTGGCACCCAAACAGTGCATAATATTTCTAAAACAAAGCGGTCTGGGATTCAACCACGTGTGCATAATTCCCTAATGGACAAACAGTGCACTAATATTGGTGGCAAACAGCTCATAACTCACATAGTGCACTACTTAGGGCACAGGGAGCATGTTGAGACACAGCCTAAAGCCCCGTGACCAACAGAGCTCTGAAGCACGTGGCACAAACCTCGCATATTCACGCTTTGGAGAGTTTTAGCTGCTGTTTAAACACTGTAATTCAAACTATGTCCATATTTCTGACTGTATTATTAAAATAACACTATAAACGAGCCTGCCGTGCTCAGCTGAGAGAGAGAGAGAGAGAGAGATCCTCACCCCGCTGCTCTCTCCTGGAGTCTCACGTCGTCCAGAAACTCCTCCACATCCTGAATGTCGCTGTATTTGTTCCAGTTCTTCTTCTTATTCTTGTTGACGCGCTTTCTGCGTCCTCCGCTCAGCGCGCTGCCGTCCAGATCCGCCTGTAAGGGCAGAAATCCCGGTTGTGAAGCCGCCACGCGTTTGTGTCTCCTCGCCGCAGCCATGTTCTCAACAGGAGAGGAGGCGAGGCTACAGCGGGAGTAGGCGGATCTGCGGGCTTTATGCCCCGCCCACGCACGAAACGTAGCGTAGCCAAATTCTTTGCTTGAACGTGTGTGTACATACATATGTATTGAGGCCGTGCAATTAATATGTTGTGGCCACAAATTAGTGTATCGAGGCTACAAAATAATATATTGAGGCAACAAATAACTACATTGAGGTCACAAATTACCATATCGAGGCCACAAATTAATAAATTGAAGCCACAAATTAATATATTGAGACCACAAATTAATGTTTTGAGGCCACAAAATAATATATTGAGGCAACAGATTACATCGAGGCCATAGATTAATGTATCGTGGCCATAAATTAACATATGATGCCATAAATAACTAGATTGAGGCTACAAATTAAAATATTGAGGCCACAAATTAATAAAACAAGGCCACAAATTACAATACTGACACCAGAAATGAAAAAATGAACAAATTGAGGCCTTGAATTCAAATATCAAGGCCATAAATTAATACATGGAGGATGTGAGTTATGAGAAACTTAAATTGTGCCTTCGATATAGTAATTTGTGGCCTCAATATATTAATTTGTGGCCACGCCTTGTTTAAAAGTATGGCCGTATTGCCAAAAGTATTCGCTCGTCTTCCTTCACATGCATATGAACTTGAGTGACATCCCATTCTTAATCCATAGGGTTTAATATGATGTCAGCCCACCCTTTGCAGCTATAACAGCTTCAGCTCTTCTGGGAAGGCTTTCCACAAGGTTTAGGAGTGTTTATGGGAATTTTTGACCATTCTTCCAGAAGCACATTTGTGAGGTCAGACACTGATGTTGGGCGAGAAGGCCTGGCTCACAGTCTCCACTCTAATTCATCCCAAAGGTGTTGTATTGGGTTGAGGTCAGGACTCTGTGCAGGCCAGTCAAGTTCTTCCACACCAAACTCTCTCATCCATGTCTTTATGGACCTTGCTTTGTGCACTGGTGCGCAGTCATGTTGGAACAGGAAGGGGGCATCCCCCAACTGTTCCCACAAAGTTGGGAACATGAAATTGTCCAAAATCTCTTGGTCTGCTGAAGCATTAAGAGTTCCTTTCACTGGAACTAAGGGGCCGAGCCCAACTCCTGAAAAACAACCCCACACCATAATCCCCCTCCACCAAACTTTACACTTGGCACAATGCAGTCAGACAAGTACCGTTCTCCTGGCAACCACCAAACCCAGACTCACCTATCGGATTGCCAGACGGAGAAGCGTGATTCACCACTCCAGAGAACACGTCTCCACTGCTCTAGAGTCCAGTGGCGACGCTTTACACCACTGCATTTGATGCTTTGCATTGCGCTTGGTGATGTAAGGCTTGGATGCAGCTCCCATGGAAACCCATTCCATGAAGCTCTCTACGCTGTTCTTAAGCTAATCTGAAGGCCACATGAAGTTTGGAGGTCGGTAGTGATTGACTCTGCAGAAAGTTGGCGACCTCTGCGCACTATGCACCTCAGCATCTGCTGACCCTGCTCTGTCATTTTACATGGCCTACCACTTTGTGGCTGAGTTGCTGTCGTTCCCAATCGCTTCCACTTTGTTATAATACCACTGACAGTTGACTGTGGAATATTTAGTAGCGAGGAAATTTCACGACTGGGCTTGTTGCACAGGTGGCATCCTGTCACAGTACCATGCTGGAATTCACTGAGCTCCTGAGAGAGACCCACTCTTTCACTAATGTTTGTAGAAGCAGTCTGAATGCCTAGGTGCTTGGTTTTATACATCTGTGGCCATGGAAGTGACTGGAACACCTGAATTCAATGATGTGGATGGGTGAGTGAATACTTTTGGCAATGTAGTATAAGTTCTGGACGTGTCCTCAGTCATGAGGTCCTCACTCTCCAGTGCAGTAGGGGGCTCCAGCGGGCCTGAACACTGAAGAAGGAAGGCAGGAGGAGGCGGGGAGCTCTCATGGCGCACATGGAGAAAAGTTGTGCTCAAAGTTATTCAGAGAAAACGGACAATAAACAAAGTATGTGAGCAACTGTGCGTATTTCTGTGAAGACAGCGGTGAAACTGGGTGTTAATGTGGTTTATTCAGCGCTGGAGCTTCTGGAGCTGCTCTGTTTACATCAGCTAACCGCATAACTTCATAGCAAAACACCGACCTGCTTGTTCGCCATCTTCATCGGATTTCCCCGTTCCACCTTAAATAGTGCAGCAGTTATAACGTTATTCTCTTCAGCGCCTCAGGCCCAAAATGTAACTGCTGCACCATTTAAGGTGGAACGGGAAAGTTCTAGCTAACAAGAATTGGTGGACGTCAAACTCGGATCCGGGTAAAGCTGCACAAATACTCAGAGTAAAAGAGTATTAAAGAATATTAAAGAGTATTAATGGCAGTTGAATCGTAATCGAGTGTGTGAGGTGTAAACATGTGATTCAGAGTGGTTTGGTGTGCAATGGTTCAGATGTCTTTACAGTGGTGGTGATAGGAACCAGGGGTCACCATGACTACAACACAAATATAGACATTTTATTTACTATCCAAAATCACCAGTGAACCTACACGAGTCTTCTGAGTTTATATGGAATGTTGATGATGGAAAATAGTGGAAAATCTGGAATAAGTTTTCTTTGGGGACTATTTTGCCTCATAAAACAGTGTCTCAGACATCAGGCAGTGAATTCATAACCATTTCATGTAGTAACTTTCTGTGAGGGAGCTTTTAGAGGTGGACGTCTGGTTCCTATCACCACCACTGTGAACAATTCTGAAGCTTGGGAAGGCTTTACACTAGATGTTGAACATTGCTGTGAGGATTTGATTGAGCATTAGTGAGGTCAGGTACTGATGTTGGATGGTCAGTTCTGGATAACTCCAACTCATCCCAAAGGTACTGGATGGAGCTCCATCACTCCAGAGAACACAGTTCCACTGCTCCACAGCCCAATGCTGGGGGGCTTTATACCCCTCTACACACTTCTTCAAGGGTTCTTTAGTGAAGGCAGTGAATCTATTTAGAACCAAGAGAGACCTATTTCGTGCTTAAAGCTTGTAACAATAGAAGGTGCTGTACACAACCATATACAACACGTTCTCCATCAACCTGAAAAAACATTTTGCCATGCAGAGAACAATTTAAGCATGAAGTGATTCTATGCAGAACTCATGGTTCTAAATGGATCCGTTGCCTTTACTAAAGAACCCTTGAAGAACCATCTTTTTAAGTGAAGGAGAACTCTTTTTGGTGCTGTACAGCGCCATATACAATACAATCTCTATCAATTACCATGCAAAGAACTATTTAAGCATGAAGAACTCATGGTTTTAAATAGAACCATTGCCTTTACTAAAGAACCCTTGAAGAACCGTCTTTTTAAAGTGTGTAGCCCACGCTTGACATTGGGCATGGAGACCTTAGGCTCATGTGCAGCGGAGATTGTATGGAGATTGTCAAAGCTGTGTCAGCAATGGGTGACCCTGAAGTAGCCGAACTGACTTTGGATGCTTTTGGACGTGTGAGTTACTGTCAGTGTTGACCTACAATAAGTTTATTCCTGTTCTCAGATAAGTAGCAGTGAATGGAAGCTCATGGACATCAGCTGAAGCACGATGAGTCTTCTACTGCATGAGCTCCTCCTCTGCTGCCGTGGATTGGAGAATGAAAAGTCCACCGAAAGAAAGGTAATCAGGTTTATCTTATCCTTAAATGAATATCCTATCCTTTTCAGTTGGCAGCTGGACAGAAGAACAGCTAAACAACCTGGAATCAGCCAGAAATAAACCCAATACCATTCGCCAAACTAAATGGGCTGTAAGATGCTTTACAGACTGGCTGGACCAAAACAACATTAATACTGATCTGGCAAAAATTGACAAAACTGAGCTAAACTTGATACTGCGGCAGTTTTATGGCTCAGTCTGATTTGGTCAGACTCTGAAGATCAGACTACACGTTTGGCGAATGGTATTGGGTTCATTTCTGGCTGATTCCAGGTTGTTTAGCTGTTCTTCTGTCACAGCTGCCGACTGAAAAGCTGCTCAGTGGTGATGACAGTTTGGGAATTTAGTGTAAGGGGCTGGAGAACGAACTGCCGGCTGTGCAGCGAGTGGGCGGAGCTCATTACTCTGACGCAGCAACAACCTGCTTGTTAAGGAACTATAATTTGGTGGAAGGAACTGTGAACATTAAAACATATTAAACGCCGCGTTCATGACCCAGTTTATTTATTTATTACTTTATTTATTTAACTGTTGTATAAAAGCAATAGAACACTCGAGGAGTGTGTTATCTCCAGTAACATCACGGCTGTGATGATCTACGACCAAATCACAGCTGTGATGTTATTTCGTGATAACAAACTCCCTCTCGCGTTCTATTGCTTAAGTCTTAATTTAAGATCTGACAGGTTAAGATACGAATTACAGAAGCAAATCTTATCTTAATTTAGTTGGATTTTGTCCCATTTTACAGCATCTTATTTCCAGTTAGGAAATCTTAAACTTCTCGATCGAAGTCGACGATCAACTGTTATGTCTGTTACCAAGCAACTGATGATCCATGCACAGCTGAAACATAAACATATAATCACAATAACGTCAAAAATTTAAGCTACAGCTGCTGATACTGATGTAAACATGGTCAAACTAAAATGTGATAAACTGTAAGTAGTTAATACTGTGAGAGCGCCCCCTGCTGTTTATCAGAGCGTCGCCGCTCCCCAGTTTCAGTCTCCATTTCCCAAACGCTTTAGCCGAGTGCGCTAACGTTATTCCTCCTAATAAACAGACACACGTTCAGCTCCGTCTCCTCACTATTCACCACCATCACTGTAATATTTCATCATCAACATTAACGCACGAAGGTAATCAGAGGGACGGTGGAGATCGAGTCTGCAGCGTCTGAGATTTTTAAAACGCAGAGTTAGAAAAGAAAAACATCTCACAGTGAAAGCAGCGTTTTACAGTAGAAATAAATGGAGCTCATTATGCTGGTAGTGAACTTTG